AAGGAAAAGCAATAGGGAACTATCTGAAGAACAATGGCTAAAAAAACTTCTTCTGATAGGAAGCTTGAGAACATCTCTAGCCAGAAAGGAAGGAGCAAAGGGAAAGAATTTGCATTTATTGAAGTTTCTTGACAAAGTGGTGATAATGGCTCAGGCAGATGAAGTTGTAAGCTCCTCTAAGAGAGAGTTACAGCTCTTCTGGGTATCTGGATGTAAAGCAAGTTATAGGTTGTGGTAGTATTAGTGTACAAAGTGAGGAATACCCTGGCATTCTCAAACTTGCATTCTGGGTTCAGCCACCTACCACATAAAGACAAAGCATATTCTCAGTGTGTGAGACCTTCAAGCATTAGTGTATATAGAAAAGTGAGAGAAGAGAAGAGAAGAGAAGAGAAGAGAAGAGAAGAGAAGAGAAGAGAATTTCCCAATAAAACACCCAAAGTTAGCCATCCCCTTATGGAATGGGAACCCAGCCAGAGTTCGCTCAAAGTTGGACTGCTGAGGCCTGAAAACTTGCCACAAGTCTTCGTCATCTTCTGGCAGGAAACCACAGGAAAGGGGAAGAAAGGGCCAGGCAAGTCTGGAAAGAAAGAAGCAAAATCAAAGTACAAGTCAAGGTAACAGCTGCCATTGTCAGCCTCCCTGTGTCTCTCACCCGCATCTCTTCCAAATGTCTCAACTCCACGTGTCTCCTATGTTCCCGAAGTCCTGGTTCATGTCCAAAGCTGAGAAGCAAGTGGAACTTCTTCACATGTCTCTGCTCCATGTGCCTCCTCCAAGTCTTATCTAGCTTCTCCTCTCTGCTCAGCTCCACCCTTTGTTAGGTTGGGCAGGGACCCGAGCCCTCCCCTTCTTACAGAGATGCCTCTCGGCAACAGTAGAAGTTTCTTATCTGCCCAGACCCTCTTCAAGAAAGGGCTTGTTGCCACTGTAAGAACTAAGCACCTAGACACCCATCTGTCCATCTGTCAGTATCTTCAGGTACTGCCCAGGTGCAGGCTCCTTCCTTACTAGAGTCCCTGTCCTTCTGGGGGAAGCTCACTGGTGGAGAACCTGACTTTCCATAGTTGTCTACACAGGCTATTTTAGAGGAGACTAGGGAAGAAATGGGGCAACCAATTAATGTTCTATAACATCAATTCCTCGAAAGTATGAGTGCAGGGAAAGGTTGTTAGCAGGAGACTTGGAATTTTACCCTGTCTACACACAGAAAATGTGTCTACATTTTTTTTTAAAGATTTATTTACTTATACAGAACTGGGGTACAGGCCAGAGATGCAGAGGGTGAGAGGCTTCACCAGAGACAGAGTGGGGAGCAGAACAGGCAGATTGAGGAGGTACACTGTTGAGGGGAACAGTGGGTGGGTCAGGAGAGGTCTTCTGCACCTTGTGGTCATCTCCAGGGCAGGCGGGGATGGAACTCAAGCTTCTTAGTGCTGTGCATTAACCTGCTGCACCACCAGGGAGGGCCGAGTGTCTACATTTAAAAAAAAAAAAAAAAGATTTTATTTATTTCTGCATTCAAGAGCTTGGGTACAGGCCAGAGGGACTGGGGTGAGATTATTCACTAGAGATAGAGAACAGGAGGGTCAACTGAAATACACTGCTGAGGGGAGCAGTGGGTGAGACCGGAGAGGTCTGCTGAGCCATGCGGGTCACCTCCCTAGCTGGGGATCGAACTGTTGCTGCAGTCGCTGCTGATAGGTAGCTTCAAAGTGCTGCACTTTAACCCTTGTGCCACCAGGGAGGGCCTGAGTGTCTACTTCTGACACAGGAAATAAGGTGTGTGCTTTCTCATATCTTCACCAAGAAATTAAAAATTTCTGTCCACAGATCAGTTCCACAGCTTCAAGTAACATTCTGGGGTAAGTGGAACTGGGATACTGAGGCACATGACAATAATGTTTCACTTGGTACTATAATGATGATTTCTTAAGTTTACTCAACACACCAAAAAGTAAAACAATTAAAAGCCCAGAAAATGTTGAAGCTGCCGCAGCAGAATATTAACATTCATAATGCTCAGAGAGGCTCTGTTGCCCTCATTTATCTGAAGCACTGACATTGTATTTTGGAACCAGGTGACAAGAGAAGAGCAGCATGAAATCTCAGTTTACGGCTGTCTCCATAGGGAACTCGACACCAAACACAGAATGCAAACATTACATAAGTCTATTAATATCATCTGGAGCTCTTCTCTGCCTCAATTGAATAGATGAATGTCATGATCATCTGGCTGAAACCCTCTCCTTCAAACAAATGAGGCTCTCCAATAATGTGTACCCAATTTCATTTTCCCAACCAGCCCCACCTCAATCCCAAGCTGTGTCTACATAATCTTGTGTTACCTGTGAAAGTTAGCCTAAGGCTCTATGGCAGTCACTGAATCATGGCTCTTTAGTGTTCCAACATGTTTATGTATTTAAAAAGCATCCAAATATTGAATTAAGTAAAGTTACTAGGGTGACTGTGGGTGGGTAAGAGCCAGACAAAATGCAGTAGACAGAGGGAGACCCAGACCTGGCATCTGGCCATAGTAAGGTTCCGATTACTGGGGTTCAGTGAGTGGGGTTCTTGGTTCCCTCTGGGAAATCTATGAAATAAATTCTGGCATTAGTGAGTAATTTGTTAGTTAAATGATCATAAAGCAGTTTACAACATTCTTAAACACTAACTGCAGAATGGATTTCATCTTTATCATCCCTTTAAGGAAGGCATCTAAATATGAAAACAAGACTAGTGAAAACTTGGAAACTGGCTGTCTGTTTTTCAGAGCTCTTTTTCAAGTTCAGGATTTCATCCTTCCCAAGTCTGACATGCTTGGGGGGTGGGGTGAAGTCGGGGAACAATTGTTTTATCACCTACCTTCCTCCTGCAGAGATGCCTGAGGTGGACTCTTGTGGGATAGACTCTTGGGCTCTTTTCCTACCCCACCTGCCTTCACCTCCTTAGGAAAATTCCTCCTGTTTTGTGTTGAACTCCTTGACACCAGTCTCTCCAGGTTACCTTCAGATCAAGGGAGACCCCGCCAGAAAGATAAAGATAGTCTCTGAGGTTTCCCCTCTGGAGCAGCAACCTAAGACCCACCTTCCCCTCAAGCCTCAAGAGATAGCAACAGCATCTGCACCTAATGTGTCTCGTCTTCTCTTCCTTCTAACAAATGTTTACCTTTTACACAAAGCCCATGTTTCTGTTTACTTATTATTGTTTGTATAAAAATATACAGCTGACTTGTGCTCTGGAATAATTTATGGCATTGATGAGTAATTAAATAATAATAAAACAGTTTATCACAAACCTTAAAGCATGGTGCCTTTGCTGAAAGGGCAAGATTGTTCCCAAATTGTTCATGACCTGGGCATGGGATGAAGGAGATTTTTCATTCTGGGGCAAATATCATACGTCATGTTCAAAATTGTGGGGACAAAATTTTTTCAAGAGAAAGTACTTCAGAGCAAATATGCTCAATTATTTTCAAGTAACTTTTTATATATCACTCATTTATCTGCTTTATTTAGCCTCTATCACTTGAAACTTGGAAAAAATAAAAGGGTAAGGTTAGTCACCTTCAGGAATTTTTAGTGTACTCCTGGGTTTCAGTTCAACTATCTTAATGTAAATCACTTCTTTTTATTGAAATATTGGAGATATTTCCCAATATGTTTGTTATAAATTCTTAAGTTAAGAAAGACAAAAAAAAATAGAAGAGTATTTGTTAAAATCCTATTTATATGAATCCTAAATTTATAAAATGTTTAGAGAGCTATGTACTTGTGGAATTTTATTGAATACTTTTGACCCCAGACCATCCCGTTTTCAGAGGCCTGAAAGGCTGCCCTGCTTTCACAAGCTACATGAGAGGAACTGCTTCTAACCCTGTCTTCAGAGGCAGGTTCTTCACTGACTTGAAAGAATCAGTGATTCCTACTCATCTGACCATAGACCTTGATTCCAGGATGGACACATGACCCAGGCCTTTTTGTCTAAAATTTCTTGGGATTATCTGCTGCAGTTGAGCTAGAAACATGGAGCTCAGCGAGCTTCTGCAGCCACCTTGTGACCATGACAGGGAGCATATCCATCTGGACAGAGCGAACCTGGAAGACAGAGATAAATTGGGCTCTGCAGTAGGTAGCATCATTTGCACTCTCAGATCTGATAACACTTGAAGAACTTGCTCTGAAATTGAAAAATTATCCATAGTTTAAAACTCTCTGAGTTGAGATTTCAATGTTTATAAATAAATCTATATTCAACAAAAATGCATCCAAGTGGATTAAATACCACTTGGTAAGTAAAATGATTATCTCTAGAAGGTTATTAAATGTCTAGTGTTCCGGGCCCTCCCTGGTGGCGCAGCTAGAGCCGCTAGAGCCGCTTCCGCATGAGTTCGATCCCCGCCTGCCCCGGAGGTGACCACATGGCGCGGCAGACCTCTCCTGGCCTGTTCCCCTCAGCAGTGGACCTCATCCGTCGGCCTGTTCTGCTCCCCACTCTGTCTCTGGTGAAGCCTCTCACTGCCCCTGAGCCTCTGGCCTGTACCCCAGTTCTGTATGTGCAAATAAATAAATCTTTAAAAAAAAAGGTCTGGTGTTCCTCTGTGTTTGAAAATTATCCCACAATACAAGTGTGTTTTGTTTTAAACTTTGAAATGTGAATAATTTCTGCATGTACAAGGGTGTCTGTGGAAGTATTTTCTGGTTATATGTAATCCAAAGGAACTTTTTTCAATTAGACATTTGATAATTATCAGTTGTATTTAAACTCTTGGCTCCTTCCTCTAGACAAATAAATAAATACCATTACCAGGTTGACTTTAGTAATTCGTGTCTTTTAATTAGGTGTATGGCTTGAATATATTATTTTCAGTTATGGACGATTTCATAATTACAGACACATTTTAATTAGTGATGCATAGGAGGGGTGTTGTTTTCTTTTCTGTTTTGACATCTACTCATCATCCTGGCAATTTTCCCGCCTCTCTCGTAGATCCAATTCTTGGTGTCTTTGGAACTGTTTGGAGGAGAAAGGAGAGATCAACTCCGCAAACACTGAGACGACAGGCTTGCCAAGGCTTCCCTGCCCCCTTCTAGGAACTGGGGACAGTTTAGTCCTGAGGCCACCACAAGACCAGTCTCCCTCATTTTTACTTCCTCCTGTGGTTCCTGGAGGGACACACGAAGTCCCTCTAGAGTTTTCCTACACTGTCCTACTTTCCCACTTCCAGAACCAGGGCGGAGACCCCTGGACTGTAACCCAATTACCTGAAAGATCCCCAAGGAACACATGTTGATTAGCAGTTGCACAATAAACAAAGCGGGAAGACGCGGAACCCCACTGTTTCATGTGATGAAACAGGTGTATACACGACAGTTCTAATACTTTGCATTGTTTAAGAAGACATGCTCAAATGGATCCATCACACAGCAGCTTATAAAGAACAAAGAAGAGAGAACCTCAGAACTCAAACTACGGCTTTCTAAGGTGCGTGGCAGGGTCAGTTTCCACATACTTTCTTGATTTGTCTAAGTTTAATATATTAAATTTTCTCTCAACATTTTTTCTGTAGCTTGTCCTTCTTTCTCACTGACAACTCCTCGGACTCTGGAATCACTGCCTCTATCTGCCAGCCTCTGTCTCTGTTGCCCTAAGGATACAAGAACTAAGGATTCCTGTTTCCGGAGGAAGGTTCTTCCCACCTTGTTTCTGGTGAGTGTCCAGTCTCATTTGTGTCTTCTTATCCCTCATCTGTATTACATGGAAAACTATTATCGCTGTCTGTGGGGTTACAAATAAGAAAATGTAGTGAGAAATTCATATATTTCAGAATCTCTTCCAGGCCTTTTTTTATAAGTCTACTCTCTTTCACAGTGATAATTGTGGAAATTCTCAAATACAAGTTTTAGGATGTTCTGATCTGCCATTTTCACTGCCCATTTAGGAGCAGGACCAAAGACAGTCTGCCTGGGGTCTTACTGAATGCTCTGCATTTTGAAGAGTTCAGTTTCAGTGATAGCAAGCAAAACACAATACAGGACTTAGTGAGTTCAAGGCTTCAGGCATTCGGCAACACCTGCCAGACCGCATCAGGGTAATATGGTACCAGTATTTCAGGGAGCAGTGTTCATTTTGGAATGAGTTGTTGATGCAAAAAAAAAGCAGAATGGGTTTGCATAAAATTTCTTGAATTCTCATCTATAGAAAGCAGTAACAACACCCCAGTTGTTCACAGTCACAGCAATGACTAGTTCTGGAGACAACTGTCCTTCAGTATTAACTTTTGCTGTAAGGGTGTCAGCATCACATCTACCTACTGGACACTACAGTCCCTTTGAAATGGCTAGATGTCACTCCTCTCATGTTGACAAGCTGGGTTAAGTCAATCCACTGAGCAGGATCAACTCGACCAAAGTCAATAAGATAATGCAGTTTATTGAAACTCGGAGACTGAAGTGATGCCCTTCATTAAACCCACATTTGGAGACTGACCTCCCTCAAAGCCCAGCCAGTGCCAGGTGTCTCTCTGCCTTTCTCCTTTATGGCCTCTACTGTATTTCTGCCTCTTCTTCCCTTGGGCGTCTTTCTAGCTTCCTGGAGCCTGGATTCAGCTGGACATTGGCTCAGCTCACGTGGGGCAGGGATGGGAGAAGGTGCAGGACCTGGGCCTACCGCCCTGCACTGGACTGGCCACGCGTGCACCACGGAGGATGCTGTGTGTACTGGGAGTTGCCTCTGTGTGTCATTTTTTTCATGAAGGTTTTAGGATTATGTTTTGACCTCACTGTTCTGAAACTTCAAAATCATTTGGCGCTACAGGTGCATTTTGGTCCCTTGTATTGGATAAAGTGTTTCTTTCACTCTAGAGACTTGTGCACTTTATTGCTAGAGAATTATTGAAATTTCTTCATTGTTTTTTTAAAGATGTATTTATTTGTGCATACAGAACTGGGGGACAGACCAGAGGCGCAGGGGCGGTGAGAGGCTTCACCAGGGACAGAGCGGGGAGCAGAACAGGCAGATCGACGAAGCCCACTGCTGAGGGGAGCAGCGGGCGGGTCAGGAGGGGTCACTCCGGGGCAGGGATCAAGCTCACACTGCAGCGGCTGCAGCCAGCTTGCGGTGCTGCGTCCTAACCCGTTGCGCCACCAGGGAGGGCGCACCTTGGCTGATGTTTTAGTTCTGTTATCTGACTCCTTTTGTGAAAATCCTGTTATTTGAATATTGAACTTAAATTTTTTTAACTCTCCTTTTTTGT